GAGAAATATTTATGTGAAACATCAGAATTAGCAGTTGCAGGGATCTATCATTCCATGGAGAATGCAAGGCCCATCCACTGGAAATGATCTGATTCTTCATGTATGGGGTGGCTTGTATTACAATAACAGGTAAAACCCCTTAGCCCTACTTCAATCATGGGATGCTTTCACTCTGGCTCATACCAGTGGGGTTACATCAACCCAAAGAGGAAACTGATATCAACCTCCCCTGTGGCTTGGAGTTGGGGAAGCAAGGATTCTCTCACTCTACTGGAAGAAAATGGAAGGAATTGGATAGAGGAGAGCACCAGAAATGTGTGTGGATAAGACAAGAACTTTCTATCATCTGCATAAGGTTCCAGACTGATATACTGTGTAGTGGATAACTGTGAATGGGGATAACAGGTGCTAGACAGGTGTGAGGGTATTAACCACACATGATGCTGTCCTTTTTTCTTTCTTTTTTTTGAAGTATAACTATGGATTGAAAGTAAAATATATAAAGTGACAAAATAGTCTTCTGGAAAAGTCCATCTCAACAGTCAGCGCTGAGCAGGGACAAATGTCTTAATCCTGTCAATTATCTCCTACCCAATGCAGATTTCTGGAAAGAGAGAGAATTATTCCATATGAAACAAAATCAACCACATGGTAGGTTCCATTATCACACACCCATACATACATACATATACTTATGCTTTTTTGTAGTTTGAGGTGGTTTCTTTTTTTGAATCTGGAAGGAAAAAGAAATAATCAACAACTCACCCCTTTAGAGCTCTGGGAAGTTTGAGGAATGGCAACTGAAGGGAGATGAAAGCCACAGGTGGAAGAAACTGTGGTGTGGAGTAAGTAACATGAAAAAAAAAAAAGGTATCATTCACATCCCACAAGAAATATCATATTGAAATGATGTCGACAGCCAGACTCAAGAAATTTGTGAAATGATTAACTTTATGGGAAGTTACATGGAATAAAATGAAGGAGTCACATCTCATAGAGAAATAGATAAGCCTGATGAGTTGTTTAACCCAACCTATCAAGGTCAAATGAGATAAGCCACAAGAAGAATAGGAATCCCAAAGCAAAAAAAGGCGATGTCATTTGCCTTGAAAAGAAGTGTAAGCAAGATGACAGTGAACTACTCTAACAAGACAAAAAAAATGATCAGTGTCTAAACAATAATACAAAGAGGGAAGGGAAGGTGATTGTAGAAAACATTCAATCCCCCTTCCAAGCAACCCAAACCTTGGGAAGAAAACCTGTCCTTGTACGGAAGATTGCAGAAAGATGGAATACAAGGCAAAAATAAAAGAGTGACATCTCCCACAAGTGAAAATAAGAAGAAATATGTTGTAACAACAAGATGGCACAAGGAATAGGTGAATAAAAGTTCAAATGGAGGATCTGTAAAAGACCTGAAAACTAAACAGAGATTCCAGAACAGAAGATAAACCAGATTAAGAAGGCAACTGATTTGAAAGCCTTGAATTAGGTCCATAAAAATCAGAAAAAGAGTGAAAAGGAGAAGAAATATGTTGTAACAAACAAGATGGCACAAGGAATAGGTGATCAAAAGTTCAAATGGAGGTCTTGTAAAAGATCTGAGAACTAAACAGAGATTCCAGAACAGAAGAGGAACCAGATTAGGAAGGCAACTGATTTCAAAGCCTTGGATTAGGTCCATAAAAACCAGAAAATGAGAATGGCAAAAGAATGATAAAAGATTATCAACAGAGCGACACTCTAAGTAACAATTGAAGAAATGGATAGATAGCCCCTGAATATTGTGTGAATGATGGGCATCCAAAACTGAAATAAAAAATGGACCACTGAGATGGAAGAGATAGAGGCACCAGGATTGCGAAGAGGTGAAAGAGAAGCCAAGCTGGCCAAAGGGGAGCAAACAGTAGAATCTAGTTGTTGTGAATTAAAGATAGCATCCTAGGAAGAAGTTGAAGGGTGGGATAAGCATAAAGAAAGTGTGAGAACTATTCTGGACTCAAAGGAAATACCACCTGAGCCATAGAATCTAGGACTGGTGACCAAAAAAAGTTGAAGCTTGGTATAAATGAGAATTGCAAATGCATCGATAAGGGAACACCCAAGGTTGTAACAAATATAAAGAAACCACATTGACTGAAGGTTTCAGTCTGGACAAGACAGAAAACCCATCATCAAACTCAAAGCTCCCAGAACATGGAAGGCCAACAACCAAATGTTGTTGTCAGGAGCTCAAATGTGGAGCTTGAGAACAAAAAACAGAGGTCATAAGAGCAAGTACCTCTCTGTTGGTTGATGTATGAAACAACAGTGGAACTGTTGAAATATATCAAAACAGGATAGTTGTAAGAAACAATGGTGGCTGATCCACTGAACTACCCACATCTCAAGGACATTGATGTAGAAACACCAAACATCACAAAAGATGAAGGTATCGAAAAGTGCATCCCATCAGGCTACAGAGGCAACCATGAACAAGTGCAAGTCAGGGCAGGATGGAGGAAGATGGATGCTCAGAGTTGTATAGAAACACTTGAGCCACCATGACAGTGAGAGGGAAAGAGATGAGGGTAGAAAAACAAAAAAAGACAGGAGATTACAGGGTATATTCCACTAATTTGTCAAAATTCATTAATGCCAAAGAAGAAAGATACCCCAAAAGAGAGATAACTTCATACATAAGAAAAAAAAGAGACATGATAATCTTGGGAACCAGAAGCTCCATATCTCAGAAATTTAAAGGAAAAGATGAGCCCTCCCAGCAAACGAAGTGATAAAGACTCTCAAATGAATCATGTACTGAATGGGAGTAAATAGTAACTTTAGAGCTTCACCAGCCAACCCAAACGAGCTGACTCCCAAAGGGGAAGGGATGTCATTACAGAGGATACATCCCAGGAAAAGGCTAGGAGTTATCAAATGTTCATATAGAGGAGGAAGTGCAAAGTAAATAAACCCATTCTCACTGTGAGTGCCCTCAGAACTTAGTTTAAAACATAGGTGCAAGCCTTGAATGACAAATAAAGCTCTTGAGAAAAAAAAACTGTGAGTCTCAAGAGTCTCCTGCAAAATGAGACCGGTGGACTAAGTGTAAGAGCCAAGGTTTCACAGGATCAAAGCTAAGGGGTGGTTCCAGAAACAATTAATTACTGAGCCCCACTGTGGCTGGCTTTCTCAGGAGGGTGAGACACCAGGAAGGGCCCAAAAGAAGAGAAACTCCTCAAAATGTCTGCATAAAGGAAGGGTGTCAAATAGAGTATCCTGAAATAAAAACAAGGTATCCCAATGAAGGAAATCTCAGAATTAAAGAAAGTGAACTGGACAAAAGCTGAAGAAGAAATGAGGCAGCATGAAGAACATGTTAGTTGACCTTATGCCAGCAAAGCTTTCAAGGTAGCGATGCACAGCCTCAGAAAGAAAGGGTAAAGATAATAGCAAGTTAAGATGCTGAGTAAGCAAAGGACAAAGAAAAGCAAACTGAGGGTGAAAAAGGGTCAACTTATAAGAAGAAGAAAGTCTCAAAGTTGGAAGAAGAGATTCAAGGGATACAAGCACTAGATGAGGGAAAGAATTCCAATTCCCTGACACAGAGAAGGAATCTTAAATTAAGAAGAATGTGGCAACTGAGAATCAGCATGAAGCATAGTCTGAAAGAAACTGTAATAATGTGATAACCAGGTAAGGGGAAAAGCAATCTTATGCAAAAAGTTTCCCCAAGAATTAGCAGAAAACAACTGCAGTAAAAGAGCAAATGTCACATACCCAAGTTATCAGAACAGTATAGGTATTACCTGATCCTCATTAAGAATCAGAAGCAAAGGCAGGTTGTGAGATGAGAAGAGCTGGTTAAAGATATCCAAAGACAAGATAGACTCAGCAAGAGGTACAGAAGCAGAAGGCTGTGAATTCTGCATCTGAGATGAATTAACCATGTGATATACAATAATAGTAACAATTCTCACCATCCAAGTAATTCCAGTCACCCATAACTGAGAGTCTAGAACTTGGGAGGTTTCAGAAACATGGATATGAGAAATTACATTCAATAACCTCCACAAAACAGAATTTGTGGAAAATCATATAATCATAACAGTATTTATCTATCTATTTATTATTTTATTTTTGAAGTATATCTGATACGTCACTGTTATATAGGCCTTGGTCATTGTTGTAATGATGAATATTGAAATTTCATTAAGAGAAGAAATAAGATTAAAGTAAGAAAAATAATAATTTATATCAGAAGCTAACCAAGATTTCAAAAATTTGTATCTTTCTTTCCCAAAATCAAGAAAATATTGGTAAGAAAGAAAACACTTCAAATATCAACTATAAAAAGAATATCATCAGCTCAAAATGTTGCAAGAAAAGGATCCGAGGTTTAAAAATATTTGAGTCATGAAGGAGAATTCAAACAACTGTACTTGTTTTCACTAAAACGTAGGGCTGGAGTTGATTTAATTCACGTTTCAAAATTGTTAAGTAATTTAATGTTACATGACCAAAAGTCTTTTATATTTACTAATTAACGAGTCTAGTAATGACGAGTTCACATTAGAGGTTTGTCAAGTCATTGTTTGAAAATACATGTACAACTAAATATTTTGCAGTATGTGGGATTTAGGCATTTTTTGTATAACTTATAAAAGTCTACAATTGTACATTTTCTTGCCCTCCACATATAAGTGGTCTGCTATCACTTAGTTTCTTGTTAATGTTTTTATTTGCACTACTCCAGGGAAACTGTCGGATCATTCACATGACTGCAATCTGAATATTTTTGGGAATTCAAAACTTAAACTGAGTAAGACATAAGTAAATTATTAGAAATACTTTTTTTGGTCTTAAATTAAAAATCCTACATATATTATCTTTTCAAACCTTTATTTCTTGCCCTAAATGAAGTATACATAATCATATATTACACGAAATACACTTAATAAACCTTCAAAGCCAATGGGTAGCAACAAAAGTTTATCCACTGGAAAATGTTTACTTACCCAATATCATCTCTGAAGACACGAGATATTAAAACTTCTCCTTTATGGTTGTAAATAAAAAGTCCTCCAATCATGATTCTTTCAAAGAAATACTCTACTCTATGATGTTCTAATATATGAACACATAAAAAGGAGAACAGAAGCCACAAGCAGTTTATTTCTGAAATAAGATGTTATGCATTAAGTACACCTGCAAAAAGGCTGCTTTATTCTTCATAGTTTTTAAAATAATATTGTACATGTATTACCAAAAATATATCTTTTGCAACAGTATTTAAAATCTTTTACCATTCACAAGTGTTTTACAACAATCCTAGTCAAATATATTTTTAAGTTTATACTCAAGGAACAGCTGTGTTGGAAAAGGTATGATTGATGATTAAAGCTCAAACATAAAACCATTTAACTAAAAGGAAATTTAAAATCAAAGAGTGAGAAGGTTATTGTAACTTTGGGTAAGATTAAGATCATATAATATTATGTGCTGTTCTTGTCTCTTTACAATACAAAAAAGATCAAACTGATGCAGAACAGGGTCAAGCTAAATGTGAGAGAATCATACTGTATTTGTTGTCTAGAGATATTTTGGTATATAGCTGTGCCAAACAAAAGTAAGTGTATATAACCAGAAGACAATAGGACAGAAGAAAAAAGAGTCAGAAGTGAGGAACAAGTATGTGTTAAACTTCAGAAACTGACTGTAGGAGGCCTGTCAACTCACTCGAGAGAACTTGTATGCAACTAAAGGCAGTCAGAAGCAGTTCTATGACAAGAAGACTAAGGATCAATGTTTCAAAGTCAGACAGAAGGTCTTGGTTCTCCTACCTATAGACAACAACAAACTCACCCTGCATTGGAAAGGACTTTTCAAAGTGCAGAAAGTGCTCAATAGATTAGACTTTAAGGTGAAAGTGGATGGGAAGACCAAGGTCTACCTCACCAATCTGTTGAAGAGGTATTTCGAGGATAAAGAAAGCCTAATATGTGCAGTTATTGAGGCACAGATGGACATGGCAGGTGTAGCTGTCATAGACACAGAACCAGAAGACAGTGACTTTGTCATAGAAAATGAAGACCTATTAGACCTAAGACCACTGGATGGAGATGAGATGTACAAGGATGTCAACATAAGTGAAGAACTGACTGGCATGCAGAAGAAACAGCTGCAAGCATATGATATGGAAAAGACAAACAATTTTAGAGAGAATTAAGTTGACTCCAGCATCACTGATCCAGAATCCACTGTGGCCGGGAATCAATTAAAGTTGGATAAATAGACGTGATACAACAAAAAAGCTAGCTTTTTGTAAATTTCTAAATAAAAAGGATGAGAGGTAGTTAAACAATTCCAGGGTTTTCCAGAAGCTAACTGAGTCTACACAGATACTGTATATCATGGCATATAAGTTGACCACCTAAGTCTAAGGAAAAAAATCATGTAAATTTCTGAGCACCATCATATAAGTCTACCTCCCAAAATTATACAGAAAGCCTATACATTATACTTATGTTTCTAAAGACAGACGAATATTTACAGAGAAAGGTCCACATACAACTTATTTAGCAGTAATGACAACAAAATTTAAAAACCATCAAAGTCTTCATATTCAGAATTTGAATTGCCAAAAAGTTCATTTAATTCACTTTGACTTATCTGATCATCATAGACTTCCCATTCCTCCATGGGATCATCGTTGGGTAAGCATAGTTTTCTGTAGCTTCATGAATTGGCTACACCCACTCCAATGAGCAGTAAAGTCAGAAATATTCTTCTTGGCCCATGCCTTGGCTTATAACATAATCTGATTTCTTGTTACAAACAGACCAGAATTGCAGTTTTTATCAACCCATTTCACAAGGTCTGTTTCTGATAAAGGACAGAAACTAGTTTTTGGACCCCGAGTAGCACACTTTGTTCCTGATAGACTTTGAATTTTCCATTTCTGTTTTAGCCAGTTGCAGATGAGTTTTTCATCTAAGCCAAATTCCCTACTCGCAGCATAAGTGTTTGTCATTTTGGCAAATGTCATGACTTGAATCTTGAATTTTGCTTCATATCTCATACATTTTGACATTCAGCTGTTGAATATATCACTGAAAGGACAACTAGAGTGCACACTGCAACCTTTATAAGTTCATTTCCTAAATTTCAAAACTCTGTGTGAAGAGTACTATTTGTGTGTTTAAATAGATCAATTTGCTCACTCTCGAGGCTCCACTGACAGTCGAGAATTTTCTTATATTTTTTTTATCTGTTGTATTAGTTAAGTCCTCTTTCTTGGAATAACATTCTGTCATAAAAGAAACCAACTTATATGTCACAATATACAATAGTAATACAGTGATATTTCTCAGTAGCTTCAATGTGATCCAGAGCATGATTACAGACAAACTCCTCTAAACAACAATGATGTTTCAGCAAACCATGGCATAACTCATGTAACAACCCGATTTAAAACCTCATTAAAGACTATCATGAAATATTGGTTCGAGAAATTTTCTGTAAACAAAGTCAGTACTTATAGTCGGGAGTATCCAACTTCTTCAGGTGAATTTGCCAAAGATTACAGTGGAAGAGGGTAACAAGCCATGGAAGAATAAGCTGATCATCAGCATGAGCATCTGCAAAAATATTTCCAGGGGGAGCAAACAAATTAGTGTGAAATTGTGAGGTGAATAAAAAATGCATATACATATACTGAATGAACAAAGAAGGAATTATTTTACTCATTTCCCAGGAGGGTGGGTGGGTGGGGGGGGTAATTGGAAGGTTCACCTTAAGGAGATAGCTTAAGATCTCTTAAGTTGATTTCAATTAGGAGAAAAACAATAAGAGATGATCTTATTGAATTTCACAAGATTATCCATGGGACTGATAGGATAAAAGTCCCTGATTTCGTTAAGCTACATTCTAAAGACAAACAGTACCAGAGGAAAGAAGTTTAAGATTTGGAAACAGACAAACTAGGTTCCAGTTAAGACAGTTTTATATTTCTAACAAGGTGACTGCTTTATGACATGAGTTATCTTTTGACTTGTAATCAATAAGATTATAACTAATAAATTTATTAGCTTTACTAATAGCTACTGAGCAACTGTTTTGATGACTTGAGTGACTTATCCACTACTATTCCAAGATATTATTCTTCAGTCATGCTACTGAGTTGGTTACAATTTGAATAATTGATTGATCAAAAAGTTCTGATATCCTAAATATATTATCTTGCAGTTACTACAATAAGTCATTTGCCAAATATTTATCCAACTTACCAATTGATACAACTCATTCTTTAGTACCACAACATTCTCAATCCAACTACAAATACCCATGTTGAATTTCATTAGAAAATTTTACTAATTAACTAATCATGCCCTTATTGATATCAGTAATGTAAATAAAGAAGCAATCCACAGATAACAAGAGTCCAGGTTGCTTGTACTCCACTAATACAAGCCTTGACAAATCCTGGGTACCAGGTCTCCATGGTGACTAAAAATTTCATCGTAGCCTAGTATTTTCTCCACTTTTATTCATGCATAGGGCTGTGCTAAATAGAATTCGAATCTAGAACAGTTCTAGACTCCTGGAAGTCCAGAACTATTTTCATGTTCTTTGAGTCCTATATCAAACTTTGTTTCTAGGATTTCAGTGGTGGATTCAGCACTTCATGTTTTTTCAGGAATGAAGCACTATGGCTGCACAACACATTACTAATTTCAGGCCATTTAGTTTTTCTTCTTTCTCTCAATTCAACCAATCAGTGCACATGTTTAGATCAGACATGACCAAAAGCAGTTAGTTCAGGCAATGCTATCAATTGGTTATTGATATCATGTGATTGTTAGCATGCACTCATTGCTGTGAAAGTAAATATGTAATGAAGTTATGTTGGGCTGGATCCTGGATCTGAAAATATTTATCGAGGCCTGCACTGATAACAACCTTATACTTTCTAACATCCAACCACCCAATTAACTAGTTTCTCCCTAACCTCCACCTATGGGATTTTCTCAGCTAATCTTTTGTGTGGCAACTTATAGAAAAAATTATAATCTAAGTATATAAACTCCATGTCCCTTCCATAATCCAGACAACAAATACCATCCTTGAAACCTGATAAAAGATTAGTAATGTAATATTTCCTTTTAGCTTTCATTTATGACATCATGTTTCACTAAATTATTTTACAAAGCTTTTTTTATCAGATCTCTAGAAGTTTTCTAACTAAAGAAGAAAAAGACTAAGAAGACTATAATTTCCACAATCCTTGCCACCACTTTAAAAATTGAAGTAACATTTTCAACTCTCCAATAATCAGGTACCTGCCCACTGTCTGTTTACCAGCTAAATAAAAGAGATAGGATGACATGTCTGATCTTTGCCTCCTTTAAAACGATGGGGAAAAACCTCATCTGCCCAAAGTGATTTATCTATTTTAATTTCTCTATCTTTGCATTCACTATCAAGGGATTAATATTTATTACAATTCCAATATTTCAAGTACCACACATAAGATTAGTAAAGAAAGTCAGATTGGTAAGAGTTAGGGATAGACTAATTGATTGGACAGTACCTCAGCTGAGTGTGAGAAAGCAAAAAGTTGTTATTAATGGAACTCAGTCAATTTGTTACCAGTGACGTATTTCAAGGATCAGTGTTTGTACCTTTGCTTTTTCTTATTTACATTTATGATATATATACAGGAGGCATAATCAATAAAGTTAGCTGATGACACTAAAGTCTTGGATATTTTTCACTGTACTAAGAATGTTAACATACTACAGAATGACTGGAACCAATTTATAAGTTTGATTAATACTTGGAAAATGATCTTCAATTATAGTAAATCCACAATAATGCACTTTAGTTATCATAACTGTATCTCATGTTTATTATAGATGAGAACCTACTTGGTAGTGACTAAAGAAAAGCATCTTGGCAAAGTGTAAACAAGTCTTCTGCCACTGAACCAGTACTCTATTGCTAGTAGTAATATTACTAGAATTTTAGGATGCATTTATAATTTTAACCATAAGGAAGACAAGAGACCATTTTCGCCAATCAAGCTCTTGTAAAGTGCCAGCCTCCACTATTGCTGATGGCAATTTATTCCAAAGTCAATCACCTTGTTACAAAGATAAAATCATCTCAGCCAAAGCTAAGCTTGTCTTTTCCAAATCCTATTCTCTTCAGAATATAGCAAAAAAAAAAAATATCTGATCAGAAGTCTTTATCCTATCTATTCACCAATAATATAGTAAACATGAATAAAATCATCTCCTTTTTCTTTCTCAAGTGAAAATAAGTTTATCCCTATAAGGAAACTATCCCACCCCAGAATAATTCTAGAACCCCTCCTAATAAGTCAATACTCTTAGATACAAAGATCAAACCTATATACAATACTCCAAATAAGAACTCACCAGTGATTTGTATGAAGCTTTATTTACCTCTTTTTAACTTGGACTGACCTAAATAATAATCTCTTCATAGTTAAAAAAAATTGAAAGATTAAAAATGCATATATCACCAGAACCAATGTTTTTCCATGGTTTTAAAGGATATGAAAGGTGAGATATGTGATTTGGAAAAAAATAAAAGCTACATTACAGTTAAAACAGTTTTATTTTTTTCTAATAGGTCATTAGCTTAGAGAATGAGCTGTCACTAACAGTATTGGAGGCCAACCCCTTACAAGAGTTAAAGAGATGAATCAAAAAAATTCCTAAAAAATAAAATGAAATTTAAAATTTTTATTTTTGCTTTTCCCCAGGGGGTAGGTGTACAAGGACAGCTTTAAAGGACAAATTGTCCCTTGTTGTCCTGATGCTATACTTAAATTTGCTGATGATATCAAGGTGACCTTTGCTGGGTGACCTGAATATATTGAGTAGTCTATCTCACCTAACTTTAGTCTTTTCTTATCCTGTTAAAAAATATCAAGAAGTTTATAAAATAAGAAACTAGTATGAATTTGGAAAATCATGTTAGAACTCTGAAAATCATTCTAAGTAATATATTTTAAATGCAAAATTTTCAGATAACTTTTTAAATAGGATTAAAAACACACAGATGTATTACAATAGTTGTGATATTCAATTATTATTAGCCCTCTGGACACTTAGTATTCATGCAATGGGTTATGACTTAAGTACAAGCTTACATTACTCAAAAGTGGAATAGAAGCTAATATTCATTCAAATTATTATTACTATTAATAATACTCATACTACGATAGTACCAAGTAGGATCTAACTGTTGTTACTACTACTAGCATTAAGCCTGTTAAGTAACAATTAATACTGTTACTATTAGTATTATTACTTTACAGTATTTCAGCTTGCAGCTTAACATTTTAACAGTGAGAAAAACTGTACTTGTTACTATATATTATATTAGTGGTACTATTAAGTAATAATACTAATAGTAACAGCATTTATTGTCACTTAGCAGGCTTAATCAGTTAATACTGGTAGTGGTAGTAGTAACAACAGTTAGATCCTACTTAGTACTACCTCAGTACGAGCATTATTTATAGTAATTTATATGCATATTGGCTTCTATTCCATTTTCAAGTAAAGTAAATTTGTACTCGTCATAACCTATTATTATTATATTTATACTATTACAGTATTACTAGTACTTATGTGACTTGTAAGTTGTAAATGTAATGTAAATTGTAAGTTGCAAATTCACAAAGACACGCCACAATACAACAGTTAAGATTAACATAATTTCACTCTCAGTTTCTGTGAGAAATTATTTTATTTATATTAAACATTTTATCATTATCAGTGATACTATCTATATCACTATCAGTATCACAATTCAGTCACACAGTATGACTATTAGTATCAGTGTATGCTAATTGCTATATACTAATACTACACTTACAAAGCAGAATGAAATTACGAAAAACGATTTAAACGTTAAATAAAAGTCTTTACTACACGTTTTAAAAATATTTATGATGCAAATCATAACATTATTTATTATATATCATCCCACAAGTACTCACAATTCCACAAATTCGTGCTACAGATTTGAAACCGGAAATTGATAGGCGTCACGTATCCCATAATTCTAACAGAAAAATAGAGTTTCCACACGGTAGTGTGTCTTGCGGCCAAAACAACCTGTTGGACACACTGTATGTTATTAACGATTTTCTACTTTCTGTAGCTCGGGCTGTGGAGATCCAAATTATCACACATTTTCAGCGGATGTGCCCTACTGAACCCTTACATCACATACCAAATTTCAAGGCAATCCATTAAGAAATACACGTGATATAAAATCTCCAATTTTAATTGAAGTTCTTCCCTTTTCTTTTCCTTCGCACCGAAAATACGAACATTTTATTTGATAGAAAAACATACTTAACTTTCAAAGATGTTTCTCAAGTCTGATACACAGATAAATTTTTACAACCTACAATTAGGTTGTTAAATTTGGTCTAAATATAAGTTACATGTGCAAATTTATTCCACAAAAACAGCCCAATTTTGATCAAAATATTTGAGCACGCCTACGCAAAAAGTCACGTGAGCTATCGGTTTGAAATTTTTACTACAGCTTCACTTAAAAGTAAAAGTGGACCGTTTTTAGTTTTCGTCATTCGGATTAAAGACGGCTGACTTAGAGCAGCGAAGCTCTAGGGTGAAAGCACGTGTAAATACATAACTTTTGGTTAGGCCAAGCAAACTAGATTAGCAATTTAATTCTAGCTGAAGTTTTCGAAAGAATCATATGGGTAGACTGTTATTATTCATTATCAACTTTTAAGCAAAAATTTTCTAAATTCAATGAAATTCTCCTATTAAAGATTGGTTAGTGTCACGTGATATTAGCTTAAGCAATTGGCATAAGTAATGATGCTTGATACCGCTGTGACCAGTGCATGCGGGTGATGACAAGTAACCGTTAATCTAGGTTCCATGGCGTTACTATAAAGGAAGTTATTAATACTGTTTTAGGGAGGAAAACTACCACTATATATTTTAAGGAATCTGGTTGGTTCTGTAAACTATGGTTCGGTTCCAAATAATAGGGTTGCAATCCTAAAGTTAATGTTGGTTACTATGGAGTGTCGCTTTCTTGCTTGCTGTGGATTGTTAGTGTGTATTGACAAAAAGACGTGATACCCAGGTGTGGAAAAAAGTTGCGACCAAAAAAAAAGGATTGAACGTGAGACTTAAA